TCGTACAAGTAGATGAAATTACAGACGTACGTTTAAGATAATCTAAAATAGAATTAACAAAGCTAATACTTATAACCAAAAATATGCGGCTTTCCTCGCTGCTATAAAATTTCACCAAACTTTTAATAGCGTAATTTGAGCCTGCAAAAAGTTGAGCAACACAAATCAAATATTTCACATTAAACGAAAAAAAAAATGTAAAGTAACAGCCAATACATATCCCACTGCTGAGCAAAGGCTTCCTCTGTACCGAGGGTGTTAGGGCATAGTCCAACACGCGGCCCCACTGCGGATTAAATAAAAATATAAATAAATAAATAAATATTTTCGGACACATTTTAAACAACGTTCTCTAGTCCCAGACTAAGCAATAAATATTTTCGGACACGTGTCCGAAAATATTTATATTCATTTATTTATACAGCGTAACTTTTTAATACAGGATAACTTTTTAAAATTGTATTAAACATTTACATTCTTTTAACATCAATATTTACCGAGTTATTAAATTTTCCAAAACAAAGAATTTTATAACACCCTTACGTATAAAACTGTAACGTATAGTTCATTTTAAAGGTCGCAAAGCATATGAATGGGTTGAATGAATTTAAAAGAGACAAAACATACTGTTAGAAGGAGAGGCTTCTAATGCGACGCCGTGGCGCGAGTTGTATAGGATGTTACAAATTTTGTTTCTTTTTTACTTAATTAGTTTCTTTGAAAAATATTTTTTTTTAATTATGGATTTTGTTTAACGTTAATATTTTTTTATGATTATTGGCAAGTAGCGTTAGACGTGTGTTCATTTATTGTCGCGATGGTAACGACACGCTGTATTTTTTGTCTATCTTATAGACATACGTAAACATCCTTTCCTTTTTTAAATAAATACACATATAAACACTCAGACACTGGAATAACACTATGTTCATCACACAAAAATTTTTAAGTAGTAGGATAGAACCCATACCCTCTGGCGCAAGAGGCACGTGCACTAATCCAAACGCCAATCGGGTCGTCAGTGGATTGGCGGACTTAACGTCATGTGTTCGAAATATTTATTTTATTTGTAATCATTTCAAAATATGTAGGTTCCTCATGTTGGCAACATTAAAAGAAGTCATTCCTTGAGGTTGTTGGCAACACTAAAAGAAGTGTCATTATATGTGGTTTAAATAAAGCTACACGAAGCATTTAATGGTCTTCTTCTTTGGCTGTCAACAAGAAGTATACGCGATAGTGCTGTCCAATCGGTATCACAACTTAAATCGTTCGAATTGTGATTATTAAGTCTAAAAGTGGAAATAAGTGATGATAGCAGTTTTATTGTTGTGCAAAGTGAAACTACGGTGATTTGGGTAAAAGTATTTATATTTCTACCTTCTTAGCTCGATAAAACATAGTAAAGCTGTTTATCTTTCACCGCTGAGCACTTGATAAGTCAATACTTATAATTAACGATTTCATTGGTTCTACACCGGGGATCGAACTCAGGTTGCTCGGGTATATTGCATTAGAGGCGAGCGGACATTGAGCTGACACGAATTTGTAATCATCATTATAATGTAGTCTCCCAGTTCGAACACCTTTTTCACCCACAAATTAGCTTTTTCTCTCCATGGGGGTTCAAGTTTAAATACACTCCGGGGATATTTGCGCAAAGCAATTTCGATCCCCACTACTGGAAAAATCTTATGTAAGTAATAACAATAAATAAATATTTCAAGACACATTTTACACAGTTTTCTAGTCCCAAACTAAGCAACGTAGTATGGGCACAAGATAATTGATAAACATACGTAAACATAAATTTTAAAGTTTTTTATAGTGCGTAAGCATTGTTTCAAATGCTAAATAACAATGTAGAAAGAAGGCGTTAAGATTCTCGTCACTGTGGCTATCAGCCGTTTAGTTCAGTGGCTAGAGCGCGAATGCCGAAGACGTGGGTTCGATTCCCACAGCGGCGACAATCTTTTCGTACTTTTTCTACATGTTTTAACGTAAACATACTTTTCTTTTGTAAAACAACAGAAATATATATATAATTACATGAACACTACTCATTACGCCAATTGGATCGTCAAGTTACCCGAATATCTCATACTCCAGACATTTTCTTCATGGTCTGTGCGGCCGCAGTACTTATCTGAAACAGCCCGTCATTCGCGTAACAGCAGAAAATATTGCGTCGTATAACGACAGTAATATTTATATAATAGGCAATTCAGTTTTATTTCTATCAATCACGTCTAAATTCTTAAGTAAAACCTCCAAAACACTGAAAAATTTCACCGCATTTTGTTCACCGCTAATTAGAATTATTTTTCGAGGTAAGCTTAAGTTTTACCATACTTTCCCTACCTTAATCCGTATGCTGAGGAGACTAATTAACACAAAAAATTCAAAAATATAAACGCCTAGACAGGAACAAATCTATGCGCCACACAAATGCTTGCCTCACGTGGGAATCATCCCCACTATCCGCAACGAAGAAGCGTAGCATCTTTGCCATTGCGTTGTTCTTCAATCAAAGCTACGTGGTGATAACAAGATTTTTTCTTTTTCTGCGTACAGCTACTTTGCGGGTTCGGGGTAACTTTTTAAAAGACTATTCACAAACACAAATTTGTTATGCGAAAGATACAGTAACATAAAAGGATAAAGAAACTTAACACTGCCCAATAATGAAGTCTGAATAACTGTCTCCTCCACAAATTATTCTACTAATGGTGTCCTCTACACATGATTCCAATTCACAGGTTTATACCCATTATTGACGTCAATCGAGAGCAACCTAAGCATTTTTTTATTTAAAAAAAAAATACTGCCCTCACTTTACGATAACATTATCCTGTGTTGTAAGGACGTTTTACAAACATAAATTTCACATGGACAAACACCCAGATTCGAACCAACTATCTGTGGGTCGCACAAATAGTTGTCCCGTGTGGGAATCGAACCCACGACCCCCGACGCCGTAGCCAATACCTTGGCAATTGCGCCACGGAGTCATCAATTTTATTAAAAGCCGTCAATTCATTTGGTGTAAACAAGAGAAGTAAAGTTATCATTTGATCATTGTTTTTGACATAGAAGACTTACTGTAGATAAGACATCATAAGAAAAGGTACACAAAGAAGAGAGACGATACGACGTGAACAGACATACTCCAACGGGAACGTAATCTGAACTTCTGAATTTACTGTTGTAGGAACTCCGTCCGACGCAAATACAGCGATTTCATTGTATCTATTTTTCTCTCTTTTGTACAGAAACTTTCGTTTGCACTATGTTAAAAGTGATATAATGGAAGGTATAAACAGGAAACATAAATAACGAATGTATGAGTAAATATCGGCCAAACAGCCTTGCGTCTTATTAATCAGGATCGAATACGTACAAAAATGACAGGTTCAGTATACAAATTATATAGGATAGTTGCTTTAATATTTTAATCTAACAAGAATAAAATATATAACAGAAGGAAGATGAAGAAAAAACAGTTGTATAATATTTTAATTTTGTAATCCTATTTATTATAAATAATATAAAAAAAAATATTATTAATACATGAAATGTATCATTTTTAAGTCGATGAATAAATGATTTTGATTTTTTGAACATATTTTATACGATAGCTAACACTTTATCTATATAGAAGACACTCACGTGGGAACAACACGCGACCTTATCGATTAAGCGATATCTTTCAGGCACCCTTAGGGCAGAGAAATTCGTTAACAGAATTTAGCAAGTAGAGTTAGTGAGAAGTTAGCAAATGAACTAAATGTGCAAATGATATCAAGTGCTACTGCCACCCGTAGACAGCTACAGTAACTGATGTTCGATCATACAATTTATTCCGTATATGTATGAGAGATGGTTATGACGATGAATGTTACATTAGCGAGCAACATATCATAAGCTTGCTTTTTAAACTCTTAAGACTCACATTTAATATGAACTCCCCATTATCCCCGCTTGTCATCTTGTTGGATGCTTAATGACAGGTTTGAGTTTTATTAAGGCTGTATCTAAATTTCATTTAACGCGGAAAGATGATGAGATGAATGATTCAACTAGTAACGATACTAAAAAATGTTTGAAATTATTTCGGAGGAGCGTACCATATTATAGATTTCATTAGCACCCCTTTTTTCCCTTCTATTATATAGGCTCGTAGAATCAAATTCACATTCATATCTCCTACAGCGTGACGTAAATAGTCTAGTGGAATGGTGTATGTAGTAATCCAAGGTGTAATAAATGAAACGCATTCGACGATGTGTGTGACAAGACTGATTTTATTGCCATATACCAAATGCTGTACTTATATATATAACTTACACCTACAACATCTCTCTCCTCAAAAACATTAAAAATAAACCTATTTATACATTTCCTACAAACAGTAAAGACTTACAATATATAAAAGGAATAATGTATTTTCCTTTTGATATACAAACTAAATACCTTTTAATGTAAAACAATAATAAGTTTTTTTTTTTTTTTTACTTTCATTTAAACTGGTTACAATACAAGATAAGTTTAAATATATGAGTAAATGGGTATTAAGTAATTTTAATTATACCCAAACCTATCTGGTTTGCGTACAACACGACCACTTCTAGTGATTATCGGTTCATTACCAGCCGACGGTGCTGGTGATTGTTGTCCCCTTGACTGAGAAGGTAATAACACCTGTGAAGATGTGATCGGTGGCGGTGAGGTGTCCTGATCATTATGAAATATGAAGTCGTAGTCACAATTTTTGGTTTTTGTTGGCCTATTATTATTAGGTAATTTCATTATATGCGACCTATTCCTACGACAAGTTCCGCCGTTATCAATTTGCAGCCAGTACGACCGATCGTTTTTGGTCTTATCAACTATTTTTCCTTTGCGCCACACATTGCCATCACGTACACGAATATCGTCACCTAGTTGTAATGGTTCTAAGGGCCTTGTACCGCGGTCATAATTACGCTTCATATTAATTATTCGCCGCAGCCGGTCGCGGTGCATCTCATGTGGAAGCACGGCTCGGAGCAAGCACCTGTTGTAACGCAGGAAGCCTCGTTTTGAGCGGTCTTCCTATTAACAGTTGTGCTGGCGAAAATCGTTCGGCCGTAATTGGAGTATTACGAAAGTTAAGCAACGCTAATTGCCATTCAGTCCCATCTTCACTAGCTTTAGTAAATAACTTTTTTACAGTTTGCACATTACGTTCCGCAAGCCCGTTTGAACGTGGATACATTGGAGAACTTGTAACATGTTCAATTTTCCACTGCTGTACAAAGCTTTTAAACTCTGCGGAAGTGAACTGAGTCGCATTGTCTGTTACTAATTTATATGGTATTCCTAACCTAGCAAATATACTTTTAAAGTTTAATATTACTGTATTACTTTGCAAGTTTGGTAAACTTGTCCTCGCGCATGGCCGCCGGTTGTTGGATCGCTGAGCAAATAGACGCTGCCGCAGTACTTTTTGGTGTTTCTCCTTCGTTTCCCATTATTACTTATTACCAACTCTGTATTACATAACACTTAACGTGAAATGGCCACACCTGACACCATGTAGTAATCCAAGGTGTAATAAATGAAACGCACTCGACGATGTGTGTGACAAGACTGATTTTATTGCCATATACCAAATGCTGTACTTATATATATAACTTACACCTACAACAGTGTAAATCAAACGATATGTTATTAAATCCCCAAAAATGCTTTCACGTAAAATTTACACGAAAAAAGAAGCCCTATCTATCTGATTATCACATAGAGAATACGCTGCTTTCGGAAACGAACGAAATAAAGGATCTGGGAGTTATCCTAGACTCACGACTCAGTTACATTCCGCATATCGATAAAATCGTTAAAAAATCTGCACAGACACTAGGATTTCTCAAAAGAAACACTAAAGGGTTCCAAGCTAAAACAAAAATCACAGTTTATAACATGCTAGTACGGAGTCAATTAGAATACGCAAGTTCTGTGTGGAATCCGTCATACGCGGTACATTCTCAAAGAATTGAAAATATCCAAAGAGCCTTCACGAGACATATCGCTTGTATCACTAGCGGAATATCATACCGATGCCCATATAAATACCGACTTGAATTTTTTAATATGCCAACATTAAAGGATCGAAGGACAATTCACGACCTATTAATGCTATATAAAATTTTACATGGTCATACCTCATGCAGTGAACTACTAAGTAACTTTGCCCTAGCTGTTCCCTACAATCTCCCCCGGCGCCCTATAACAAAACTTTTCTGGACTCCTCCTCATAAAAGTAACTTGGGATTGCATGCTCCCGTAACGCGTTTCTGTAATTCTTATAATGCCATCTGTGAAGAACTACCCAAAACGGATTTATTCCATTTAAATTTTATAAAATTCAAGAAATTAATACTGAGTCATGTCCGTTAATGTTTTTATTATTAATCAGATAATTCCTTAAAATATGTAGAAAAAGTGCGAAAAGATTTATTTATTTATACTTCATTGTTACAACTTAGGCTAAAGGCTACAATGGGCGGACTTAATGCCTAGTGGCATTCTCTACCAGTCAACCCTTGTCATGGTGAGAAGTAGATGGCAGGTGCTAAAACTAGAGTAAGTAAAAGTAGGAAAATATATACATAAAAATCAAATTAAATATAATGTGTGAATATATACGAATATGTGTATGAATATTATTATTCATAAACTACATATATATGACATACATGTATGGATGAACACATACATAAATATACACACACATATATATATATATATATATATACACATAAATATTGCAGATGTACATATATGGATAATAAAAACCGAGCATGGCATAAGCCAAACAAAATCACTGATTTAATAGGTATTCTCGAACTAACTTTTTAAATGTATATTTATTTGGAGCTATTTTAATCTTATCGGGAAGGGCATTCCAGAGGAGTGTAGCTTGAACAGTAAAAGAAGAGTAAAAGTATCCTGTATTATGTTGCGGGATGCGAATCCTATGTAGGTTAAAAGAACGAGGTACTCTGTCAGAAGCAGAGTGAAATAAGTGGAAGGTATTCCTGAGATATGTAGGAGAATTAGGATTAGATAATACTGAATACAATAACAACAGAATTCTGGAGCAACGCCTTTGACGAATAGAAAGCCAGTTAAGCTTGCGACGATAAGAAGATACGTGGTCATATTTACGTAAACCGAAAATGAATCTAATGCAGTTATTGAGAAGGCGCTCCAATTTATTAAGACGAGATTGGGATAGGTCCGGGTAACACACATCTGCATAGTCAATAATGGGTAAAATTAAGGACTGGACGAGCAAGAGCTTAGTTTTATGGAGCAGAAAATTTTTAAGGCGATAGAGAGATCGTAAGGTGGCAACAACTTTCCGGCTGACTTCGGCAACCTGTGTTTCCCAACTAAACGACTGCTCCAAATACAAGCCAAGATTTTTAACAGATTCAAAGAACGGAATTAACGTTCCATTATAAGTGACAGGGACAAGGCTACCATAATCAATCCTGGTAAGCATCCTTGGACCACCAATTATAATAGCTTTGCATTTAGAAGGATTAACGGTAATTCCAAATCTGTGCGACCAATCTCTAATTGATTCCAGATTGTTATTAAGGGTTATTATGCTGTTATTAAGATCATTAATATCTGTTTGGACGTAAAGCTGTAGATCGTCAGCATACAGATGATACGAACAATTGATAACTGAGGTTATAGAGTTAATGAACAATGAAAACATGATAGGAGAAAGTATACCGCCTTGCGGCACCCCAGAATCAACTTCTCCCCAGGCAGAGCACTGCTGTCCTAAGCGGACCGACTGTTGGCGACCGCGAAGATAGGAGAAAAACCAATCTAAAGCTGGGGTAGAAAATCTAAGGTAAGTAAGGTAGGATCTGAGGATTTCATGGTCAACTGTGTTGAAAGCGTTAGAAAAATCCACAAGCGCCACCACTGCGAGCTTTTGAACATCCATACCTTTTCGTATGTCATCGGTGACCTTAATAAGTGCAGTGGTGGTACTGTGACACGGACGAAACCCAGATTGATAAGAGTTCAATAGGTTATGTTTAGCAATAAATACGGAAATTTGCTTATGAACACAGGCCTCAAGAACTTTAGAGAGAAATGGAAGAATAGAAATCGGACGAAAGTGGTTAGGCAAAGAAGGATTGGGGATTTTGGGAAGTGGCAGAACAAAAGCTCTTTTCCACAAGGATGGGTAAACAACCAGAGTCCAAAGAAAAATTGATTATGTGGGTGATTGCAGGTAAAAGGTAGTCCAGGATCATTGTAATCATTTGTTTACTAACCTCGTCGCTTCCCACAGCTTTAGATTTGATTGCTATTATAGTGTTTTTAACGTCATTGAGATTTACCGGTGTGAACTGAAAAAGTGGAATTTGAAGAGGTGGCAAATAACCAATAGAAGTAATTGTTTGAGAGCGGATACTACTATCCGCTCCGGACCCTACGGTCCATAGATGGAGTAGAAATAAAATATTCGTTAATGTCATCTAAAGAGAGCGAAGAGAAATGATCTGATGGGCACGGCTTGGTGATGCCAAGAGATTTAAGAAATTTCCATACATCAGCGGAAGAAGAATTACTAACATTGGCATGGATATAACGGCGTTTAGCGTTTCGTACCATCTGATTGCATCTGTTTCTAAGAGATTTAAAATGTAACCAATTCTCCTAACGTAAACCGTACGTTCCCGTTTAAACATCGCAAAGGCCCGATCCCGTCTCGCCATTGCTACCCTAACGCCTCTAGACATCCATGGAGCGGGAGGACGCTTTACCCTTACGTGATGTACAGGTGAATGAGTATTAAACAAGTTAAGTACCATATTGTTTAGTAGCACCACTTTATCATCAATCGTAGGCGCAGTAGCTAAAGGGGTAAAGTCGATGAGCGATGCGTCACTTCTCAGTTTTTCCAACTCAATTCTTGAAAAGTTTCGTAATTGCAAAAATGTGGGAATAGGTTTAGGAGGGATAAGTTTATAGGAAAAATAAATTACGTCATGGTGGGAAAAGCTAGGAGCAGATAGCTGACCGTGCTTTATAACTCGGTCAGGGGAAGCTGTTATAATGAGGTCAATCCATGAATCATCAGTGTGAACATTATGATGAGTGGCCGCTAACGGCAGGATATGGAGGTCGACTGAATCAATAATTGATCGAAGTTTTTGAGAACGAGATGTATTTTTTAACAGATCAGTGTTGAAATCACCCATTATCATACAGTGCGTGTACTCAGAGCAAACGGAATCAAGAGCAGCTTCAAAATCGCTGAAATAATCAACAAAGGGGGGACAGTACACTACCCCTAAAATCGCCCTTACGCCCAGTACACAAACTTCAAGGAATAAATATTCAGCAGAAGCTGAATAAGGAGAAGGGGATGCAAAGACAATCTTATAAGGTATATTAGCCCTCAAGTATATAGCAACCTCGCCTCTCCCCTTCTCCGTCCGGTCATTCCGAATCAGTACAAAGTCGGAAAGAGGATATAAACTGGACATCAAAGAAGGTTTTAGCCAGCTCTCAGATACGAGAATCGCATGGACGTATACAGATGAAAATGCATCCTCAAAGTCCGAAAAATGACTAGGAATACTTTGCGCATTGATGTGGCATACGTTAAACAATTTACTACAGGATGTAAATGCACTCATGAGCCTATCACGTAAAGAGAGCATGCTCTCATTCAAAAGATCACAAGAAGCAAACGAGGAATGTAAATCATTGGCGGAATAAAAAGAATCATTATCCGACATAACTACAATAAGAATGTATAAATATTAATTGTTTGAATAAATAAAATTTTATGTAATATGCAATATATAAATAAAAACCTAAACTAAAACAAAGAATACAGAAAAACTACTGTATAGCTAATGTAAAGCAGAAAAACAATAACAAACACTATATCTATTATCTACTATGCACCATCCTAACAGTTGACAGTTTACAAATAAGAAATTAACATTATAATAATGATAGAAAAAAATAAAGAACAACAAAAAATATACAAAAGGACATAAATATGCACTATTAATTTCGGTTGTAGCCAATCCTTATTATTACAATTAACAAAAAAAAAATGATTGTAAGTTAAAACATTTGAAGATTAGATTATTAATGAACTACAAATCAAAAAAAACAATGATAAAAGGATAAAAAAAGTTAATACAATCCAAAACAAAAAAAAACGTTAAACAAAAATATATTTTACCTGTGGCAGAATGAATTGAAACCATTGCCTGCCTTCAAAATGAAGTTATGAAAAATACAACAAAAACTGTTTACATTATGTGATGAGTGATGTGTCCCTATCAGTTAAATGTAAAATAAAAACAGAAAAATTAACAAAGGCAAGACCAAACATTGTAATGAGATTTAGAATTTGGTAATTTGCATTTATTACATTGACTAAAAGTGCTGAAAAGTGCCTATACTAAAATCGATAACA